ACCAGAGGGGAGGCCAAGAAAGAAAAGATACTCAATCCGGCCTACGGGACGGCACACCAGCCTGGGCCTTTGTGATAAAATTCTCAAACTAATTTATGATGAGGTTTTCATTATAAAAGAGGTTCAAAATATTTAGGAAGATTGTATGCTTTGTTTTTTTAATTTTTTTTTTTTCAATTCCTGGAAACATCAACACAACTAAGAAACCAACATTTACCAACTCAGATACAATCTCTACCAAGTAAAAATCCCATGAAAGCAAATGTGACTGCAAACTGTTATCATCAGTAGGTTAATCAACAAAAAGAGTTTGCAATTTCAGACCCAGTACCTTCATTTTCCCTAGTTCCTTCCAAAAAAAAAATTGCCTTCTCCCTGACATGGAGTATGGGCATCTGCAGGTCTCAACAGGAATGAAACCAAAATACAAAATTACCTTGTCTCTCACTTCACTCAATAGAAAGAACCACTCCAGCAGGAAGAATCTTGATACAGCTGTCTCCCTATCAATTCAATCAATTTTTTTTGTCAGTCAAGGATCTTCCCAGGAACTAAGTCTCAAGGTCTTCAGAAACATTAATGACTTAAACACAAGCAGGAGCTAATAAAAAAGTACCTCGAGAAAATGGACATACATGATTACTTATTTGCTGCTAGATAACCCATTAAGGTACCTAGTAAGTAGGGAGGGCAAGGACTAGTTAAGTTATGCTTTCCTATGCTAACGTATAAATTCTGCACCTTTCAAAACCCTCAACTTGGATGCATTTCAAAAGTTAGCATTTGAAATAGCAACTTTCCGTCCGGAGAAAGTCTGTTTCACAAAAGGGCATATGTAGCAGCATTATTTCCTGGCAGCCAGGCTTGTAATGACATCACGGGACTGTTCTGCTCAGGGAAACATCTAGCACTGGTAAGGTGTGAGGTCATCAACTAGTCAGCTGCTAAAATATGACCGGAGAACGCCCTTCACATCTGTGATGGAAGAACTCGACTTAAAAGGGGGGGAAACGTCAGATCAATCAAATCGGCCCCATTGCAGGGATTTTCAAAGCAAGTGCAACAGGATGTTAATAGAGGCTCTATTTTAAAAAGGGTCCTATGGTCAGTAAATTCGGAAAATCCCAGGAAAGGACAAAATTAAACACATGTTTTACTACAGAACTTCTCCGAGCTTGCATTATGCTGATGGACACTGTAAGTCTCCAAGAAAGGGTCACAGTATGAGGTATTTTCCAAATTCATTTCAAAATACAACTCATTTTTGGCAGGGAACCCTTGGCCTAGGGTTCCGAGGGATATTCTTTGAGAAACATCGGCTTACTCTCTTAACGGACGGGTCAAACCGGAACATTGCTGTTTTTAACGAGATCCATAAAAGATACGTATGATGACTATAATTCCACAAAATATTCCTTCAACATCCAGGCGAGTCCTTGCCCTCCAGAGCAGTCTACTGGGAGAGGCAGGTCTGACACACCACGTGGTACTGCACGTGAGGCAACAGAATAGAACACGTGAACACTCAAAATCGAGCCGCTCAGTCTGCCTGTGTAAATGAGGAAATCCTCTACAAAGGAGCCCACTTTTGAGCTGGGTTTCATATGACAAGGTAAGAGTGGAGATAACTTGAATATTCCAGAACATTTTCTATAAAAATCAAATCAGCCCTTGATGTTAATGGATACTAGTTTCATGGCCAAAATTCAACAATCGTGCCTTAATTTCGGACTGTTATTTTTGCCACTGTACTTGGCTACCATGCTTTTTGTATGCTGTACAGAATCTAAGAAGAACTCTACTAGGCAGATAAACTTGACCTCTTACAGTTCACCACAATTAGATAAACAATAATCTAGCATACCAGCAGAGGGAATAGCCTGCAATATATTTTTCAAGTCAGAACATGTAGAACTAACATCTATCCACCCAAAAAGAGAAAAACCCTTCCCAGAAAAGTCACTGTCAACACAGGGTCACTGGAACATCATTTGTTAACTTCACTGAAGAGGAACTTTCAAACACACCCAGTGGCATTTCTAGACAATCAGAAGGCACCGAAGGAATCAATCTGCACACACGAGTGTTTTCCAGGTGGCTGAAAATGCAAAGAATTCGATGCTTTTATAATTTTCCCTATTAATCAGGTCAGGCATTTGACACTTGAGGTGGCAAAAAATTGTTTTAATGGCAACATCCCCTTCTCCACCTTGCCAATTACCCTGGCCATGGCATTCCTCTGTCCACACAGGCCACAGCTGCTTAATCTCAGCTGCCCCAGGCTGCACCTGTGAATCAGACCAGCCTAATCACACTAACAGATGGCAGAGGCCAAGTAGCCAGCTAAGAACTGCTATCACTTTAAATCGCGTCTAATGTTTCACAGGCCCCAACCAGAGGCAGTCCCCGACAGCAGTATCTCCCTGGTACAGCTAACACCAGCCCTTAATCACTGCAGAGCACCCATTTCGGGGCAGAGTTGGTGTCATTTGAGAGCTAATTACAAAGAACTCTGGTTACAAGGTGAAGGCATGGCAATTCACTCAATGTGGGCTGGCATTCATTAAATGGAGCAGTCTACTCCCTGGGCCTTCTACACAGGCACCAGGCAGTCAGGACTGACATTCAGGATGAAAACCTGAGGTCCACAGCAGGTAATCCTTCTGAGTCAACAGAGAGATTCAGTTCACTCAGCCTATTTGTTCATAACCTATACCTTGCTGTTACATTGTATTACTTCCTGTGTATCCGTGGTAACATGCTATGAGGCAGGGTAACTGATCACCAGGACAATGCTGTTCCCAGGCATGCCAACACAAGGGAGCTGACGGAATCTGATGTTCCAATCAATACCAATGGCACCCACATGCGGGAATCACTTTAGAGCTGTAAACAACTGTGCAAGCAGCCTCACTCCACCCCCATCGTCACCCTGGGTACTGGCAGAGGGGCGCTGTGATTCAACATGCAACAGGCCTTCAACTGAATTGCAACTCTGCCTTTTGCTCACTGAATCACGAATTTCCAATCAATAAAACAGGAACAGCTCCTCTCCCCACCTTATCGGGTTGTTAGGGACATTGACTGAGCCAGCAGCCAGCACGGAGCCTGCCCAGAGCAGGCCCTCAATGTCATGGCCAGGGTCATTGCCTCCCCTGCCAGAACCAGAGAATTAATAAGAAGTGAGTGGTGTCTTCTGATGTACCAATGTTTTATTACTAAATAATAATAACCTCATTAAAAGATTGGTACAAATTACAGCAGAAAACACGTTCACTCACCTTATTTTCCACTGTTTTATGAACTAGATCTCTAACAGTCAACTCCTGCTCAAGGCAGAGCTGCATCTGTGAATCCCTAGGCCAGTGTTCTCACACTTGAGTGTACGCGATTCAGAATCACCCCCAGCTTCTAATTCAGTGGGTCTGGGGTGGGGCCCGAGAATTTTCATTTCTAACAAGTTCTCAGGTGATGTTGATGCTAGTGGCCCAGGCCCCAAGCTTTCTCTTACCAAAAGGTGAAAACTACATAAACCAAAATATTTCCATTTTTGCCCAAGCTGCTAGGAGACTCAGGGACAAATCCAATTCCCCGCTTAAGCAACACATTATCCCAGGTGCCTGACAACATCGATTTTCTCTTCTTCCTCTAAAAAGCCCAGGGCCTATTTTAATAACTAACTGTCTTATTATTTAGGCCTTGTTTAAATTTATTAAACTAAAAATCCTTTTGAGAAAATAACAGCCAAGCAAAGAACGCCACTGACCAACATCACTTTGGGAACATTCCAGCCACGTTATTGGAAAATACAACTAATGCTATATTTTATCTTCTTTATTTATTGAACAAACACAAGCACTTTTCTCAGCACTGTACGAATATGAGCTCATCTAATCCTAACAACCCCATCAGATACTGTTGTTATTCCCATTTTACAGTTGAAGAAACTGAGGCACAGGAGTTAAATTACTTGCCCAAGGTTACCCAACTCAGAAATGGTGAAGTAGGATTCAAACCCAGGCTGCCCAGCTCCGAGAGGCCATGTGCTTACTCACCAAGCAGAGGCCTCCTACATGTCAGTGCTCACTGTTAACTGCCTTTATTTTTTTTTTTTTTAAGATTTTATTTATTTATTTTCTTTCCCCCCAAAGCCCCAGTAGATAGTTGTATGTCATAGCTGCACATCCCTCTAGTTGCTGTATGTGGGACGCGGCCTCAGCATGGCCGGAGAAGCGGTGCGTCAGTGCGCACCCGGGATCCGAACCCCGGGCCGCCAGCAGCAGAGCGCACGCACTTAACCGCTAAGCCATGGGGCCGGCCCTTAACTGCCTTTAAATAAGCAAACAGCACTCGTTGGCCCCCTTTTATATCTGCAAAGTAAGGCACATTTCCTTATTTCTGCTCAGCATGCAAGAATATTTAAAAAGGCCAGGGTTTCTCAACCTCAGCGACTGACACTTCAGACCAGATCATGCTTTGTTACGGGGCTGACCTGTACAATGTAGGACGTTTGTTAGCAGCATCCCTGGCCTCTACGCAGTGATGCCACTAGCATCCTCCTCCCCCTGCTGAGACAACCAAACATTGCCTGATGTCCCCCGGAGGAGGGGGAAGGAGGAGAATCTCCCCAGGTGAGAACCGCTGGGTTAGCCAAGCACCATCAACGGTTATAAAGAAACCAGGATGTTACATGGTTCCACTAGCTTTATTCTCCAAATAGTGAGAAACCAAAGGGAAAAAGAAAACCAAGGCAAGACGAGTCAGAACTGCTTTCAAAAGCGAGTGGCTACTGACACGAGAAGAAAGGACAAACAGTAGAGAAGGGTGTACAATAACACTGGTTTATTCTCAGATTTGAAAGTCAGGAGAGTAGACACAGCAGAGAAAGGCGAGGGCCGCAGGACGCAGCATCCCGAAGAGTCGGTGAGAAGACAGGTTAGGGTCGCGACTCCCACCAGGCTCTCCTCTCTCGGGGACCTCCCGAGACGGCCGTTACTTACTCTTGCTGTTACTGTTCTCACTGACAAAATCCTCGGAGCCATCTGTGTCATCCTCGTCATCGCCGGATGAGATGGCATCTGTATTCAAAAGAACACATCCACGGTTGCGTTTTTGCAAAGCAAAAGGTCACAATCATCTACAACTTAGTTCTTCTGGATAGGAAATTCAAGAACCCAGGAACCCACGCAAAAAGTCTGAGGCTGTGTTTAGTTAAGACGGTTTTAATGGCTTAAATTTTCTCTCCGTGATGACAGTTGGTCTACATTATGATTCTCACTGTTTTCTGCTTTCACATTATTTAAACATGCTATAAAACTGGATATACTGGAACTGGATTTTAGCTTCAAACAGTATTCAAGTCCCCAACAAATTTAATGATTGTGATTGTGTAATATCCAAAATTCTTTCCAACACAACCTTTCAGCACTCAGGGTCCCCTTCAAGAAAGGAATTAGTCCCTAGCAAAACTTAGCCACTGTGTGGCCTTCTGACCATTTACTAACATTCTGAAAATAAAATTTTAAACTCGGCCACAAATGGGGCCTGTGCAGTCCCCCTCACTGCACAGAAGAAAAATCAAGGAAAGAAACTCTAATTTTAATAAAATCAGAAATCTTCAGCATCCAAATTTCAGTGTTATAGTCTAAGTGCTAAGGATGCCGGTGGTATGGGGAAAAAAAGGTGTTTTCACTTACATAAAAGTGTGCTGTCTTAAATGAAAAATGTTACTTTACACACAAAAATCCTGTCATTTTTAACGACCAGCCTCTGTGGTACACCAGGTCCCGTGGAAGAACTTCAAAAACAGATCAGTAACAAACTGTGAAGCTCTGTGCCTGGCATCCAATTAGCAGATCCCACTATGATTTCACATGTCCAATAAAATTTTACCCAGAAAACAGCTAGAAAGAAGAGCGAGCAGAGGGCTCGCAGGCCAACTCACCTGTGACATTCACCATGAAGTAGACAGTCTCACTGTCTACAGTCCTAGCAGCAGTACAAGCATAGAGGCCGGAGTCTCTAGGCGTGGCACCTTTTATCTGCAAGTATTCCCCAATAAGCACTGTCCTATTGCTGGGCCCCAAGTGTACCCCATCCTTAGTCCAACTGATCACGGTGGCATCTCTCAACAGGCAGCGCAACTCTAGTGACTCCCCGGGCGCAGCCACGTAAACTTCTGGTTGGGAGATTTGGTATTTGGTTGGTGGCTCTGCAGAAAGGTGGGAGAGAGAAGATGGAGAGAGATGGGAAGGAGGAAAAGGAGAGAACGTCCAACAAAGGTCAGGGGAGGCCCGTTCATTCCCAGGAGAGGCAGATCTTGTTCTGCAAATGGCCCGAGCAGGAGTCTGCCTCTCCCTGCACCCCAGGAAGCGGCCCTCGGCACAGCACAGAGCAGACTGGGCATCTGAAACAGCCACCAGAGGAAGCACCCAGCAAAAGCTTAGTTTCCACAAACCAAAGGGCTTTAAACATAAACCCAAAACCCAGCATGGAAGGATATCATACAAGAAAACTCCTAAATCGATTGCCAGTCCCAAGGCTGCTTGTGCTGCAACACCCAGGAAATTCTATTATTGACTTTTTTTATTTTTAAGGATGTTTTCCAACTTTTTATTCAACATAACTGCATGGTTGTGTGTCTAACACATATATTCACATACACACACACACACACACACACACCCTGATTATTTGTGCTAGACTTTGCCTGTTGTCACAAAGCCAAGCTCCTTAAAATGAAATGTCTCAAACGCAAGGGAAACTCGTGGGTCCTTCTACAAAACCGTTTGCCATCTGAGTTTCACGAGCCCTCAGGCTGAGATTAGAATTTTGCTGATCTGGAGACTTAATTCTGCACTGGATGAGCTGGGACATGTTGTTTTTCTTAAAATGATGAAAAGCCTGGAGGACTGAACACCGAAAACAAAGAGTAAAATGATCCAGGTAGCTGAGAGGTGGTCTCCACCACACTTAAATGGGTCCTGAAACGAAGGCACGAAGCCGCTGTGCACCGCATGTCGGACACTCCATGTTAAGCTGGATCCCTCCCTGCCCGCCAGGCCCCACCACACATCCTGGGTCCCAGCCTCCTCAGGCCTCTGCCTTTGTCTCCTTTAGGGCTACCCGCTCCCTCACCTCCTTGCTAAACCCAATTCTTCCTTCAAGGCCCAAGTAAAGCAGTGCCCTCCTGAACGAGAGCTGGCCATCAGTCACCCTGGCCCAGAGTGAAGCGGATCTCTCCGTCCTCTTTACCAGCTCCTGGGGATGGACCACATTTCTGATGAACATGTCCTGTCTCCCGAGGAGACACCAAGATCCTAGAGGGAGGCTCAAGTCTCAGGGCTCCTTGCGTATCTCTCCCCTCCCTGAGGCATACACATGGAAGGTGGCCCGTGTTAAACATGACCACAGTCCCCCAGTATGCAGGACAGGATGGGACCCAAGAGCACCCAATCCACGCAACCTCTGCGAATGCAGGTGAAAAGCAACTATGAGCCTTTAAGAACAGCCACAGCCACTGGCTGGGACCCACGAGGGTCCATGAATCGGCTTTCATCCCTCACAGTGAGAATTGTGAATGGTACCCGGAGTCCCAGGCCCAGAAAACACAAAGCTTCTGGCTCTGGGATGACTCCAAACTGGGCAGCATCACAAGGCAATTGTTTTGTCCTTTTGAGAGTGTTCTGGACAAATCTCCCACATAAGACTGAAATAAAATCGCTTCGTGTTTCAGTCCACTGTTGAAAGAACAGTGAGGGCCTCGTGCATCTGGTTCTAGAAATCCTCCTCACCACCACCATCAACAGCCAACACAGGAGGGCCAGGGCATAATATATGTGAGGTAGTCTTAAGTGTCAGGAAGAAGAATACAGCAAGATAGCAGCACACCCAGAGACGGTGGGTTAGGACTCATTCTAGAGCAGGAGTTGGCAAACTACGGCCCCCAGGCCAAACCCAGCCATTGCCTGTCTTTGTAAACAAAGTTTTATTGGCACACAGCCATGCTCATTAGTTTGCGTATTGTCTGGGCTGCTGTTGTGTTACAGAGTAGAGTTGAGTAGCTGCTTGCAACAGAGACCCTATGGCCTGCAAAGCCTAAAATATTAAGTCTTGAGCTTTACAGAAAGTCTGCCAACTCCTGTTGTGTAGGATGTTCAGAGAAGGCTTCTCTACAGAGAAGTGAAGGGCAAAGGGATGTTTGAAAGATATTGTTGGGAACTTAGTTGGAAGGTCTTCAGGCCATGCCTCCCAAGGCTGTTTAACTCCTACCTAATGGAGCTAAATTGATTGTAACTCTGGATCCTGAGCAGAAAAGGGAAAGAAAGAGAAATGTGGGAAAGAGGCTAAGAAAGAGAAGCAGAAAAAAGAATTTAGTTTGGCCCTAAATCTCAGACCATGTCCCACTTCCAGCAACCTAGAGTCACAACATCAGGGGCCCCAAAGGCCACCTGGTCCAACCCCTTTTACAGCTGGTTAAAGCAAGGATCAGATGTCATTCACATCCCATGTAACTAGCAACTCATTATTGAAATAGCACCCACAGTGTTAGAATGAATTTACATTGGATTAGCCTGGGTCATAAAATAATCAACATTTATTAGGACCACATCGTATGATCAGCAAGTCACCAAGATTGTTACGGAACCTGCTTTCCTCCGAGCCAGATCTGGTCATCAAGAGACTACTGAGCCGGGAAGCAGCTGGACGTAAGCAGCAATGCTTCCCTCCCTTAAAGGAGAGACTGGGGCTGTGCAGCCAACCTGCTTCTGTCTTGGCCCTCAGATAAGGAATGAGAAGCCATGTTCCTATTTCATGGAGGCAGTGGAATGCTCCAAGACTGTTAAAAATGATAAGCAAGATACCTGCAATGCTGATACAGAAAAATCTCTCTCCTGACAAAGGTGGAGTTATGATTTCTCCATTTTTAAAGAAAAGTATTTTCACTGAGCATCCTTTCCTTCACCTGAAATAGGTAAACCACAAAGTCTTGCTGAAACCAGGGGTGTCTGAGATGCTATCCAAATGTCACCAAAAAGACAGCACCACCTCCTGCCGGTGGTAGGAGGAGGAACACAGCACAGTGAGGACCACAAATACTTCAGGCTGGACACACAGGAGATGCCTAATAAATGGGTGCTGCCCTGCATGAGAACAGGACGAAGCCTTGAGTTCCAACTCCACTCTGTTCCCACTTAACCTCTCCGTCTCAGGTTCCTCCACTACTGCAGAGCAAGAATGCCCCCAAAACAGGGTATCACTTGTGAGGATCCAATGAGCCAACCTATATGAACCTGACTTTCCAACTGTAACTTGTTGAGCCCATGATAGTCACTACTGCTGTCACTCTTCAAGGCTGAAGATGCTCACCATGAGCTCAAGCCCCACTATTTTCAGAGGATAATCAGACATTATTTGGATTTGTATCTCTGTAGATACAGAACAATTTTACTCATGATGGGCTCCCATCTCAACGGACTGGTAAGATGACTTGATGTACTGTAAAGAGTGCTTTTTATTGCCAGTAAAACCAGGTCAAAACTGTCACCCAGTTTTCCAATTAGATGATAAGCTTCAAGGATAGTAAAATAACTCCCCAAAATACATCAATAAGATAATGATGTTCATCCCTAAAATTAAGCCATCTGACCTCAAAGTCTGAAATCAGAAACTACTGCCATGGTAAACTCAGAAAGCGTGTGCTCCTCCCTCCTCTAAGTGATCACTCCACAAGGCTCATCTTGGGGGGTCTGTGGCAGGGAACCCCAGCAGAACCAGCAATACCCCTGCATATGCCAGGGGGACTTCAAGCGCATCTTAGGAAGGAGGGAGAATGGGTGAACGAAAGCAATAGAAAGGGGGGAAAACGGAGGAAGAGTTCAGGGAGAAACAACACTAAGAAGAGAAGGAAGAGAGCAGGCGCGTCAGGGGGAGGGTGAGTGGGGCACATGGCGGGGAGGGGCGGAATGCCACACAGTCCCCTCCCAGGCCACCCAGAGGCTCCTGCGGCCCAGGTTCCTGCATCAAAGACATCTCGGACCAAGGTGTCAAGAAGATGGGCACTTGGCCTGGAACGCAAACAGCCAGCTCAGCGGAGGCAACTCTGTCCCCGTCCCTCCCGTGAGGCCATTCGGGGCTTTGGCTTCTCTCCTGTGCTTGAATCCTTCAGGTGACTTCCCTGCCTGCCTGCTGCAAACGTGCTCCCCAAGTGCTCGGCATACATCTCCCTGGCGGTATACCCCACATTGTTCTGGAGGAGCCAAGACAATCTGCCAATCCCCTCTGACATCAGCGATGCTGCGTCCATATACCCTAACTGCCTCTCTAATTTCGATCGCCTTCCACTGACACAGGCCAGTGCCTCCACCGGGCTCCACCAGGCTGCACGGCCTACTCTGTAAAATATGATGGTTGACATAGGGCAGAGTGTTCCCTGGGAGATTTAAACAATACCTTTTATAGCAATATTAACGTTTCCTGCATTTATTTTTTGTGGTTCTGTGGCATACTTTTAACCTTTCTTATGCAGAGGCCGGGAGAAATCCAGGAGGAGCAGACAGTCCAACATGTCCCTCATCTGTTCTTGCCAAAACCCAATGGGAGGAAGGTTCCAGAAGCTGCTTTGCTACATACCAAATGCTCTTTCAGAGGCTTCCACAAACACAAAACATGTCTCCGCATATCTTTCATAATATAAATTAAAATTCAAAAAGAAAAGAGAAAGCTGGCACGTACACCCTCGTGTTGGACATTCTTTGTCACTGTTACCTAAAATTGCTAAACAAACAAGGCGACAAGTTTACCTTCTGGGAGGGCGCAACACGCTTGTTTCTACTTGCTGCAAGCACAGGACGGGCGTGAACAGCTTGGCTGTGTAGATGTTTCGTTGCATCAGTCTGAACTTTCTCCCAGAAGTTTCAAACATTTGAGAAGTGCCAGCAGCATGTTATCACACAGCTTTCAATAAATTGACTACTCTGATACGAAAAAAATGAAAGAGATGGGCACCTCTACGGCGAGTCAAAAAGTGAACAATAACAGCAGACCTCTTTAGAGAGTCGGTGTGTAAATCCTGCCCGGAGCTGGGCCTCCCTCCCTCCCCTGAGAACCTCCTCGGGAGCTCATGGGAATTTAGAACTGAGGGGCCTCCATCTGGGAAGAGAAGGAAACTGAGGCAGGGGCCACCTGACTCCCCAAGTCCCTCAGCAGATC